CCACTTTAGGGCTCCTCTATAAATTCTCCATCTTAGCGTATTGCCCAGCTCCTGATTGGGGAGTAAGATGGGGGAAGGGTTGTTATCAAAAGCAGCTGCTCTTCTAGGGAGGAAAGAGAGTCAGGGAGGATAGAGATAGAAAGAGGGAGTGGTTCTTGCATGGGCTATGCGTCTCTCTCCAGAGTAGAGAATTTGTATTCCACCCCTGAGACTGACATCACTGATGTCAGGGGAAAGGAGGTGGGAGTGGGGAGGGGGTGTGGAGGGGGGAGGTTTTTGTTGAGGAGAGCGCGGCCGGAGAGCAGAGCTCCGGGACCCAGGTGACCGGGAAAGCAGGCAGCCTTAGAGTCGGGAGTAGCCGGCAGCAGCCCAGGCTGGGGAAACATCCAGGGTGGGGGTGGGAGGGGGGTCGAGGGAGAACCTGAAGGGGGCAGGGCAGAAGGGACCCCCGGAGCCCTGCCGCCATCAGAGATCAAGCATTTGGCATCAGGGATCTTCGGACCCAGCAGAAGGATCAGCCACAAGGGAGGTGTCCTCCCTAGGAAGCCAACAAGAGAGTCACCTGCCCCACATCAGGAGCAGGGACCTCTCATGACACTGCTTGCAACCAAATCAGGCCCCTAGCCCCTCAGCCTCCTTCCTGTTGCCTTCTGACTCTTGACCCATCTCTTTTGGCATTTGTGCCTTTGCTCCCGCCCTCTGAGCTCCAGAGCTCCTGCTACCACCCAAACGCCCCAGGGCTTATTGGCCCTGACCCCCCTCCTGGGATATTTGCCAGATCTCTGGGAGGGAGACCATTTGTTTGGGCTATGCCCCCAGGTGGCCTGACAGTATCTGCCTAGACCCCTGACCCCTAGCCTCAACTCCCCAGGCCTCCTTTGTGTGAAGAGCCCTCCTCTGATCAGCACTGTGGTTGGGGGCCAAAGGGAAAGCCGGCCCTGCTGGGCCCTTGGGCCCCACCACCTGCCTCCTCCTGGTTGGGCAGCTTCCCTTGTCTTTGGGCCTCTCCCTGCTCCCCCTCCCCGGCCCCTCCTCCTGGGCCGCCCCAATGAAGGAGCCGGATGCCATCAAGCTGTTTGTGGGGCAGATCCCGAGGCATCTGGAGGAAAAGGACCTGAAGCCCATCTTCGAGCAGTTTGGCCGGATCTTCGAGCTGACTGTCATCAAGGACAAGTACACCGGGCTGCACAAGGGTGAGGGGTCAGGCCAGACTGGAGAGGAGGCAGAAAGGATGGGGGAAGTCAGAGGGGTGGAATGGCGGGCAAGGAATGATTTGGAAGCAGAGTTCGGGGACAGGGGACTGGATGGAGGAGCTGAATGAGAACTCAGTTGAGTGACAGGGATCGCAGGGGTGGAAAACTAAGGGGAACTCTACGCTGTAGATGGAGGAGGGTGTGGATGCCATGGGGTGAACTCCAGAAGGGTCAGAAGGACAAGTTTTAGGAGACAGCAACAAGGTTGATAATGTGAGTAGCCCCAGATAATGCTGGGATGGCTGGCCAGGTGTTCAACCTAGAAAGAGTGGGATTTAGCCAAACCGGGGCAGTCAAGGACTAAAGCGAGTGAGCGGAGGAGAGGAGCGTGGAGAAGAGAGACTGGACAGGGTTTGTAGGACTTAAAAAGTTACTAGGAAAATGCTCTGGAGGTCTCTCCAAGAGCTGTGCTGCTAAGCAGGACCCGCCACGGATCAGCACTTGGAGAGCTCCAGGAGCGGGGATCCCGGGCCACACTACCTCCCGCTATCTCAGGAAAAAGCACTTCCGGCTGCTGCTTTTCCTCTTCCTTCTCCGTGAACTCCCCACACCTGCCTCGGTGGAGTCTGGGAGACATGAGAAGTAGGGGAAATGGAAGGGGGGGGAGATAAGGCCAAGATGGAGGGAGGAGAAAGGAAAGAGAGAGGAGAAGAGAGGGAGAGGGACAGGGCCGAGGGACAGAGACAGAGAGACAGAGGGACAGACAGACGAGAGAGGATAGGGAGAGGAGAGAGAGAGAGAGAGAGAGAGAGAGAGAGAGAGAGAGAGAGAGAGAGAGAGAGAGAGAGAGAGAGAGAGAGAGAGAGAATCACATGGCCTTACTTGGCATCACAGCTCTTCCTGTTTCGGCCCCATCTCTCCACACATCAAATGCTCTCCTGTGTCCCTCACCACCAGCCCCTGCCCCGGAGAAAGGGTATAATTTTTATCCCTCTGGGGTGCCTCCCCAACCCAGCAGGCGGAGATGGCAAGAAGAGGAAATGCCTCCCCCATTCTCAGTCTCCTGGGGAAGCCCCTTTGGAAGCGGAAACTGGGAAGTCACTCCAACTCCAACCCTGTCTCTGCCTGTGTCTCCTCAGGATGTGCCTTCCTGACATACTGTGCCCGCGATTCAGCCCTGAAGGCCCAGAGCGCCCTGCACGAACAGAAGACTCTCCCAGGGGTGAGTCCTACACTCTGCAGGGTCAGGGGGACTAAGAGGAGCCTTAGGACTGTCAGGGGACCCACAGCCCTCCCAAGACACCGAGCTATTTTCCACCTCTTGTCATCACCAGGAAGTCCTTCTGGCATCCCTTTCCTTCTGAAGATGTGTGAAAAAAGAACACTTAGTGGAGTAAATGGGACCTTTTCTGAGGAGCATATGCAGCCCCTTCCCCCACCCCACCCCGTCTGTCCCCAAGCCATGTTAGGGGGGACTTAGCTGTATGGGAGGCATGCACAGGAGACTGAACACCTGTGTTGGAGGGAGCACGGGGCACTAGGCACTCTTTTGTGGCGCTGGATAAGGCAGGTTGGGTGGGGGGAGATGGGGGAGGGGTGCTGCCGCCCTGAGAACAGGCAGCTGGGCCTGCTGGACTGTTCCGTGATTTCTGAGATCACACAGGCTCCCTGCCTGGCTCCCAGGAAGCACTGCAAACAGCCACAGGGCATCACAGTGGATCCGGGTCTGTGGTGGACATGAGTTTGGGGGCAGCAGGCCAGGGCCGAGCTGACATGATAGGGAAAGGTCAGGTTTGACCCCACCAAGTGTGCCCAGGGAGGGCAGGGAAGCACAGGTGCTCTGGGGTGGCTTCCCTCCTGCAAGGTGACATGCCTTTGTTTCTTGAGCCAGCCTCTGTGCAACAATCCTTGGCTGGTAACCTAGAGCAGGCATCCAGAACCCTCTGGCCTCTCTGGCTGTAGATGGGCTTCTGTTTTCTCTCAGACTATGAGTCTCAGGGAGCCCTTCCTGAAACCTCACTGCCCATGGTAAACCTTTGCTGGGCACTGAGACATCTGGCTCAACCTCCACGCCTTCCCCATGTGGGACAGAGAATGGTTCTGACCATCCATCCGGAGAGGAAAGAGAACAGATGGGGTGGGCATACAGAAAACAGAGCTGCTTATACCGCCCCCAACTTAAACTCTCTGCAAGCCCCCTCTAGCCCTCCCCACCATCTCATCCCAACCAACAGGAATCACCACTGCTCAGAATGGAGAGCCTGGTACATGCATGTGAGCTGGCCTAGGGATCTAGGTGAACATGTGTCCGTGCACACATGCTTGTGAGCACATGACAGGCCAGACTGGGGTACATGCAAGCTTCTAAGTTCCAACTTCCCCTCCTCTTCCTCTCTGGAGGCCCCTCACGAACCAGATTTTCACCTCCATTGCAGGAACCGGAGGGTCAGTGGAAGGAGACCAAAAAAGGCCAGGGTAGGGTCTTGGATGAATGGCGTGTAGGGTGGGTAGGCGTCCCAAAGACAAGGTATCAGCTAGGGATACATCCCCTGCATCTGTCCCCTCCAGGGGCCTATGAAGCTCAGGCAAAACTCCAGCCTGGATGAGACGCTGCCTGCCCTTCATCCTGGGCTGGGCATGGGAATGGGGGAAGGAAGGCCTCCTGCTTCTCTCACTTTGCTCCAGACCTCCCAGGTGACACAAAGTTCCCACGGTGGCCTTTGTCACAGCTGACAGAATCCAGAGGGACTGATAGTTTCTGACAGGAAGTGAGGGGTTCCATTCTCCCAGGAAGGATCCCATGCTAAGGGGTTGAGGACACTGGTGCAGGGCAGTCAAGGGAGCAGATACCTGTAACCACACCCTTGCCTTTGCACTCTACCAAGGGTTTTATCCTGCCATTTCCCCCCTCGGGTGTGTGTGTGTGTGTGTGTGTGTGTGTGTGTGTGTGTGTGTGTGTACGCGCACAAGATGTCAGCCAATGCACAGTTCTGTCAGTAAGTTTTGTCCCTGTCTCCAAGCCCTCCTGTAAGGTCTATTTTAGCAGTGTATTTTAGCCTGCTTCGTGCTTCCCCTCTTGATCAACCAGAATCTAGAAGGTGCTACCATACTGAGATATGTTTCAGGCTGGCCTGTGGCTGTTGAGGCCCATTTCCTCTTCTCTCCAGTAAGAGTTCCCTAGGTGGCTCTGTCCCAGGTCCCTCCTGGATCCATTCTGAGCAGGCAGGGTGTGGCCTCTTGGAAGTTGGTTGTGAGGGATGCCTCTGCCTGGCTTATTCTTCCCCATCTGTTCTGGATCAATCTCCCGCTTTGGAGACATGAGCACTCCCATCAGCTTGAGGCAGAGAGGGTGGTCTCTGGGGCACCCGGAACTGTGAAGCCAGAAGCCACAGGGCTCCCAACCTACACCCTCAAGAGAATTGGATTTTGAGGAAGAGTGAGCTCTCTTTGGAGGTGGGGTCCTGACTGTTAAGTAGTCCTGTTAGGGAAGGCAGATCAGAGCTCCCTGGCTGGAGTGTAAATAGCCCCTTCTTCTTTGGGAGGCCCTTGGGAGAGCTTATCACCTGGTGGGTGGTAGCTAGGGAAGAGGCGCCTGCCTGGTTGCCAGGTAAACACAGCGCAGCTGGACTCAGGGGAGGGGGCAGGTGTGCCCAGGCAAGCTAACAAACCTGAGCTTCCCACAGGAAGTGGCAGGCCAGGAAGTGGGGGACTGGAAATGGGCATTGGGGTACTCAGGAGTCCTCTGTGAGGGCACTGGGGGAGTCTGTCCATACTGTGATCTGCGCTGCATCTCTCTGAGAATGCACATCAGCTGTGGGTATTTATTGATATGCTATTTTTGTGCTGGAAGATTGTGCAGGACGGGCAAGACATCATTTCTCTCCCAGGCTCTCAGTCTCTGAGAGAACAGCAACTTCCCCAGAGACTTGTTCGGAAGGGCATAGTGCCAGTCCTAAGAATGCCCCATGCTGTGGCCCTGGCTCTGACTGTCTCCACATCTTCAGGGGTGGATGTGGCTGCTCTGGTGCCTGAAAGAGAATTTCCTGTTGTGACAAGAATAAAGAAGAGGGCGTGAATGACCAGAAGTCTCTAGCTCATAGATCTTCCTACACAAGTGCAAGATCTCTCACATACACACACATGCACACACATGTATGCACACATAACACAGGCACACACATGCATGCACACACACACATGCACGCACACACACACTCACTCCTTAGGAGATTGAGTCTCAGATGGGATAATCCGAGATTGCTAGAAGGTAAATCTGGAGGCAGATTGGCAGGAGGATTTATGTGACTGTGACCTCCCCCCAACCCCCAGCAGCTGCTCACAGACCCAGAGATTTGGGGGAGGGAAGGCCAGGGCAGGAATATCATTGGAGATGAGTCTTAGTTTGATCCATGGCTGTGAACACCTGGCTGGCGAATCCAGCCAGTAGCTATAGTTCTGCATTTCTCCATGTTAATTCAAGTCACTCAAGGTCTCCATATGCTAGAGTCCCCAAGCTGAGGGTACCTGACTCCAGGACTCCTGGCCTGTCCTCTTGTTTACAGAGGAGGAAGCTGAAGCCCAGAGGAAAGAAATGACTTAGGTAGTGAGAGACTGCTCCTGGGACCTGGGTCTCCTCTCAGTTAAATGACTTTGAGTACCCTTAAGCCTCACTCTTAGCATGTAAACGAATACTTCACCTTAGACTTTGGTCTCTGGAATTAAGGTGGTCCCACCATCACATGAGTGAGGGGACTGATGTGACCCTAGCTGTCAAAGTCCTCAATAGCAAGAGAAGTTCAGAGCTGAATACTGAAGGCTCCGCCCAGTCACTATCGTGGTCGTCATCTTGGTTGAGGAAATCAACCTGTGGGAGTGTTTCCCAAGTTCACTCGCCAAGCAAGACATGCAGAATAGGACTAGGAGTTTTTCTATCCACACTGAAGACTGAACAAAGGATGCCACTGTGGGTGTCGGGAGAGGATAGGGTTCTGGAGGGTAGAGTTCAGTGAGGATGGCAAAGGAGCATGGATAGCCTCCTCTCCTCCAGTGCTTTCTCAGCTCTTCAGATACCAAGGCTTGGTTCTGGAAGAGGAAGCAGGAGAATTAATAGTAAGGCTCCTGCAGGGCTCACTCCACTTACCTCCCTCCAGGACCAGGAAGCTTTCCTGGGAACCCTCCCCCACCTCCCAGCCCCCACCCAATCCTCCACCCCCAGCATACCCTGTTCCCACCCCCCCTCCAGTCCTTCTCTGGGTGTGGAGAAGCAGAAGTGATGACATCACCACGGTCGCCAGGGCGACGGGGACGGATAAATCAGGCTGAGTGGGCGGTTGCCATGGTGCGCATTCTCCCGTTGCCACGGAGACTGGGCATCTGCTCCCTTTGTGCTGCCCGAGTGCCTTCCCCCTGGGGTCAAGGGGTGTAGGGGAGCAGAAAGAGAGGCAGACACACCTCCAGGGGTCAGAAGGAATTCTGGGCCTCTGTGGGGTCTCCCTCATCCTTCCTTGGGGGTTCTCCACGGGATAGCCTGTTTGCTCCTACTTTGCAGAATGGAGGCAGCTCTGGCTGATCAGTCTCTTGGCTGAGCTCTGGCTTAAGACCTGGGTCCTATGGACAGACATTTCTCTATGGGTGGCCCGGGCATTCTGAGGCCAACCCGAGCCCAGAGCTGTATCCCATGAACACCTTCCAACACATCCCCTCTCCCAAATACTTTTAATCCTTTCGTGTTTGAATTCTAGACAAGATTGGCCCTATTCTCTCCTTCTCATCAATTTAGAGGGCAGAGGCAACTTTGCTTCCTTCAATCTCTGGTCATCTCAGTCAGGGAGGGCTCTTGGATGTTCTGAGGAGGTCCTGGAAGCTTCCTTCTTTTCTCTCCTATAGATGAACAGGCCGATCCAGGTCAAGCCAGCCGACAGCGAGAGTCGAGGAGGTAGGTTCTACAACTTTGGATTTAGCCCCTTTCCTGCTACCCCCAGGCCCAGGGCTTGAAAGAGATGAGAGGCAGCCTTTCTTAAGGAAGGACGTCTAACAGTACTGAAGAGTTATTTAGAGTTGGGTTAAGGAATGGATGAGTGTGGTAGGAGGAGAGATTTGGCCCATTCGTAGAGATGACAAGACTGAGGCCAAGCAGAGTTCAGGCTCTTCAGAGCTGAGAAGAGTATCGCACAGTACTGAACGCCAGTTCCCAACCATCAGCCCTTCACACCTAGAGCTATTGTCCCAGGATGGGGAGTAGTGTCAGGAGCAACAGGTACAAGTGGAAGGGAAGGGCGGGGAGAGCCCTCGAACATTACTCCCCTCCTGTGCCCACCCCCAGAAGACCGGAAGCTCTTTGTGGGGATGCTAGGAAAGCAGCAGACAGATGAGGACGTCCGGAAGATGTTTGAGCCATTTGGGACCATAGACGAGTGCACTGTGCTCCGGGGGCCAGATGGTACCAGCAAAGGTAGCCCCTCCCTCTCCTCCCTTCACCCATAGACTCCGGAGGGTGCCCTCATGGTAGGCACTCACCCCTTTTCTCCTCCACCCCAACCATTCACTCTAGGCTGTGCCTTTGTGAAGTTCCAGACTCACGCTGAGGCCCAGGCAGCCATCAACACCCTCCACAGCAGCCGGACCCTGCCGGTGAGCCCCATTCCCCTCCTTTGTCTTCCTACTGGCCCACCCACCAGGCCCTGGCACAGAGCAAGATTCCATTCAGGATAGAACTTCTCATTTATGTCTTTACAAGTTTTTGCAAAAGAATCAATCAAACATCACACCCTATACCCACTCCTCATCTTCAGCCCAAATTCCCTTCCATTCCTCAGCCCTCTCTATCTCCCATCTGTTCTCTGCCTTCCTGAATCTCCCACCTCATTTCCTGGAGTCAGGACCCTTGCTGAGAGGCCCCACCTGCCCAGAATGTGTTGATACCTGAATTCTGGTGTTAAGTCAGCTGGATGTGAGCTGGAGTTCCTAGCGGGAACCTAACTAACCAGCTGCTTCCCAAGGATGTGGGCCTTCCCACAACTCAGGAGTCTCTAGCAGAGGCAGGAGAGGCACCGAACAGGAAGAGAGCTCAACATCGGACAGAGAACTGAACCTGGGCCCCTTCAGCTTTGAGAGTCTAAGACTATGACCGTCCTTGCAAATGTGCCAGTTTGAGTTTGATTTGGCTCAGGCTAGCATTAAAATGGGAAGTGGCCTCCACTGAGCAATCCGTGAGACCTGGGGTGTGTGGGGTCAGAATCATGGCAGCTGTCAGATTAACACTCCCCACAGCTAATCCACTATGGGTTGCCAGCACAGATGCCTCTCAGCACTGACCTTCCCATCCCCACAGGCCTGTCCAGGCTTTGAGCATTTAACTTCACGTTCCTCAGTTCTGTCTAGCCTTTACACATCCCAGCGCAGGGAGATGGTGGGATTAGGATCTTCCCATTTGGACTGGGCCCCGTGGTGACTGTGCTCCCAAGGGGGCCTGAGACTAGGCTCTGAGGCCCCTAGGGAGCAGCTGTCGGCTCTCCCTGTGACATGTGGGCCCATGGCCAGGGTGCCTCATCCAGCCTGGTGGTAAAGTTTGCTGACACAGAGAAGGAGCGAGGTCTCCGCCGAATGCAGCAGGTGGCTACCCAGCTGGGCATGTTCAGCCCTATCGCCCTCCAGTTTGGAGCCTACAGCGCCTACACCCAGGCTGTAAGCATGCCCCTCACGCCCAACGCTAGCTAGATCTTCCTCATCTCCATGTCCTTTGTGACCCACCCTCCAAACACCAGAGAGGGCTTGGGAGGGAGATGAGCGCCAGTCTGGGGGCCTGGCCCTACACTTGTCTCCACACCCCACAGCTGATGCAGCAGCAGGCAGCCCTGGTAGCAGCTCACAGTGCCTACCTCAGCCCTATGGCCACCATGGCTGCCGTGCAGATGCAGCACATGGCTGCCATCAATGCCAACGGCCTCATCGCCACCCCCATCACTCCATCCTCAGGTATGGCCTATCCTGGGCTGGCGGGGCTAGGGACAAGCATAGCTGGGCAGGTAATGACAGCACGGTGACAGTGAGTAGGGAAGCCATGGGGTCCAAATGGTGCTCGGGGCCAGAGAATGGGCTGTTGCTCTACTCGGCCCCCAGATGTGCCAACTAGTTCTCTGCATCTGTGTGCCTGTCTCTCTGCTCTGTCGCTGTCATTTTCTCCTTCCTAGGAACCAGCACCCCTCCTGCCATTGCTGCCACGCCCGTCTCTGCCATCCCCGCTGCCTTGGGCGTCAACGGCTATAGCCCGGTGCCCACCCAGCCCACAGGGCAGCCTGCCCCTGATGCTCTGTATCCCAACGGGGTTCACCCTTACCCAGGTGGGGCTCTCTGCCTGCCCACCTTGCTCCATCTGCCATCCAGGCCACCACTCCCATTGCTGACAGCCATGACACACCTTCCCTCTCCAACCTCATGGCTTAAGGTGCTTTTTCTTGCTCTTCCTGGGCAGAAATGCTCCTCGGGTTCTTTTCTTTTTTCTTTTTCTGTCTTTCTTTTTTTCTTTTTCTTTTTTTAGTGTTTTTGAGACAGGGTCTCTTTGTGTGGCCAAGTCCCAGAACTCACTATACAGACTAGGTTGGCCTCGAACTCACAGAGCTCTGCCTGCCTCTGCCTCCTCAGTACTGGGATTAGAGCAGTGTGCTACCCCACCTGGCATTTTTGGGGCTTTGGCGAGGGTAGCTGAGACTTAGAGAGGTGGCAAGTCAGTCACAGACCTGTCTGCCCGACATGGGGCTGTTTCTCCCCCTTCTCCTACTGCCCTATGCATCCCCCTCCTCATCTCACCCTCCACCCCCAATGAGGCTCTGTCTGCTGAGAGAGGTGCTGGCGGGGTTCCCGTTGTGTCCCAGACCCGCTCATGGCTTGTGATACTCTCCTCAGCCCAGAGCCCTGCTGCCCCCGTGGACCCTCTCCAGCAGGCCTATGCAGGAATGCAGCACTACACAGGTGAGGGACTCCAGCCCAGGCCCTGCCCCGGTGGGAGGGATGGCAGGAGGAAAACCAATCCAGAACCTCTACGTCCATGCTTCTACACTCACTGCCAACCACACCCTCAGGCCTTCCTGACAAGCTGTGCCTGTGAGAATGGATGCTTGAGGGCAGCAGCCCCAGGACTTGGTCTGAGGGCAGCCCTCCCTGACACACTCAGCCCTGTGGGTTCCACTGCATTGGGCTGAGGGGGGAGACAAGGCTGGCTGTGAGGGGTCAGGGGAACCCCTTTAGCCTTTTCTGTTTTCACCATCCCAGCAGCCTATCCTGCAGCCTACAGCCTGGTTGCACCTGCATTCCCGCAGCCTCCAGCCCTGGTGGCCCAGCAGCCCCCACCACCACCTCAGCAACAGCAGCAGCAGCAGCAGCAGCAGCAACAACGGGAAGGTGCCAGCCTGGGGCAGGGTCCTGATAGCTTCGAACCTGCAGGGATAAGAACACCCATGTGGTGGGCTCGGGTACTCCCAATGGCTCTGTGCCACACTCAGCTCTGGCCCTGTGTGTGAGAAGGAAGGAGTGGGGAGCCCTGGCCCACCTGTGGGGGGCCTGACTGGCAGCTTCTTCCCCTATACCTCTGCGTCTCCCAGTCTCTGAGCTTTCCCTTCTATCTCTGCTGCCACCCAGGCCCTGATGGCTGCAACATCTTCATCTACCACCTGCCCCAGGAGTTCACAGACTCAGAGATCCTCCAGATGTTTGTCCCTTTTGGCCATGTCATCTCAGCCAAAGTCTTTGTTGACCGGGCCACCAATCAGAGCAAATGTTTTGGTAAGAACATGACCCAAAAAGACAGAGTATGGACACTTTTGTTAGAACTCTAACTTAGAACAAAGTTTGTCACATTTGGAGGCATTTAGGGTCTCAATGAACTCAGCACTTGAAAGCCTGAGTATACAAGGCTACAAAAGAACCATCTCTGACACACCCACCATCCCATACAGTTGACACTCAAGCCCATCTCTTGTAAAAAGGTCACAGCTTTATCTTCCTCCTTAAAAACCGACCTCGGGGCTAGAGATGCTAGAAATCTAAGCATGAGATCCTATGTTCTACCATAACACACACACACACACACACACACACACACACACACACACACACACACACACGTACGCGTTCGCCAATTCCATTTCACATAGTCTGGAGATACTAGATTTCAAAAGGATGTAGGTTTCAGTTGGAAACCTGCTTCAGACCCTTGCTTCAAGTCATTGGTAGGGTTTTCAAAAGGCAGGTTTCTTAGAGCTCTCAGGCTAAGG